TGAGTGCCAATATACTGTACCTCCATACTGATTAGAGAGACCAGGAGGATCCTAGAACCATGGCAGCCTGGCACCTGTCCCTGAAGTGGAATAGTTAAAGATTCTCTTCTAAGGAAACTGCTAAATTCAAGGGGAAAACATCATATGTTTGGGAGTTGAGGATACTCCAGCAAAACAGACAGGCCCTCTCCCCACCCCAGCTGAGGTCCTCCAGCCTGGACAGTAGGAACACTTGAGGAAGATTTTAAAAATATGGATGACGGGGCAGGGTTCCAAGCTATTAGTTCAGATACTCCAGAATATGTACCCCCGCCACACACACCCCAGCACTTGTGTTGGCGTTAAAAGTTTCTGGTGATGGAACAAACAGCCAAGACTAATGATGTCTCCATGGTATTTTTTTTCTTTTTCTTTTCTTTTCTTTTATTTATTTATTTATTTATTTATTTATTTATTTATTTATTGGTACTGGAGATTGAACTCGGGACCTTACGCTGTGAAGCAGGTGACAGAACCATGCTAAATCCCCGGCCCCCAAGTATGTTTGAGTAGAAGTCGGCATTAAAAGTCACCAAATTCAGAAGATCTGCTATCAAAGTCAGAGACTAAAACAAACAAGAAAGGAAGAACTCAAGTCAGTAATGCAAGAGGCAAAAGTAAACTTCAAGGAAGCTGTATCTTTGGAAAGATAAGAGAAGATATTACACCCACAAAAAAAGCACAGGAAGTTACAAAAAGAACAGCCAGAAAAAAGAAAATAATTTCTGCAAATTAAAAATATTGTGACACAAGTAAAATTTTCAGTAAAATATTTGGCAATTAAATTGAGAAAGTCTTCTTTAAAGCAGAATAAAGGAAGAGAGATGGAAATAGGAGAGAAAAGATGAAAGAATTAAAACATTTGCCAGGGGGACCTAATACCTGAATAATGGCTATTCTGAAAAGAACAAAGAAAATGGAGGGAAGATTATTAAAGTAATAATTCTAAAGAATGAGCCCTAAAGTAGACTGGTGGTTGCTTAGGGCTGGTGGGGAAAGTAGGGAATGATTGCAAATAGGAACAAGGCTTGTTTTGTGGGGGTAAAGGAGCTATTTGGAAAGAGATGACTGTTGTTTGAAGGAGGGGAGGGGAGGGTAAGGGGAGGGTGGGGACAAAGGGAAAATATGAGAACCAAGACCTGGCATGTAAAGGTACAAGAGCCCAGTAATGAATGTAGCTGTACTGTCTACCTAGAATGTACCAATAAATTAAATTATATTTTAAAAAAAGAGATGACTGCACAATTGTAAATAGTTATGCACTGCATAAGGACATTTCAGTCAGTGACCACATGGATGACAGAAATCCCATAGGATTATATATCACACTAACCTCATAGACATCTTAGTTTGTCTAAGGATCCTCTGTGATGTTTGTACAAAGGTGAAATTGGGATGCATTCCTCAGAATATATCCATTGAGCTACTTGTAACTGTATATTATAAACCGTTGACATGAATGCTTTCAATGCATGAATTTTGAGGTAATGTAAATTGTATCTTAATAAAGCTATTTTGAAATATTTCCAGAGATAAAGGACATGAATACTTAGACTGAGGGAGCTACCAAGCCCAGTGCAAAAGAGTCCTACATTAAGGCCTATAATCACATTATTTCAGAATATTGGAGACAAAGAGAAGTCCCTGAAAGGAAATCTTCCAAGAAGATAATTCACATACAAAGAATTGGAGGTTAAAATGGCATCATACTTTCAGCAGCAATATTTTACTCTATCAGGCAGTGAACCAATACCTTCAAAATTCTGAGGAGCCTTGAATTCCATCTAGCAATAGGATAAAGAATGATTGAAGTCTGTTGACTAGTGCTCAAGTGAATGAGGGACCTTGAAAGTCTGTAACATCCTAAAAGCATGAGTGATCTTTTTATTATACTGACATGTAGCTGGCAGAAGTCTGCTAACCAGAAAACCCATCCCAGGCAGCCTATCTCTACCTCTCAGGGGCATTTTTTATTGTTATTGTTTTCTGGTGGTCTTCATGTACCTGGTTGCTATATTTAAATCTGGAATGTCCCCCCAAAGCCAAAGCTTAGTGCCTGGCTTGGTGTTATTTGAAGGTGGTGGAAACTTTAAGAGGTCGGGCCTAGTAGAATGTGTTTTGTTTATTGGGGGTGTGCCCTCAATACAAATAGTGGAATCCCAGTCCCTGCTCTTCCTTTCTTTTTCTCTTCCCCACTATGAAGTGAATGGCTTCTTCTATTATGTGTTTCTGCCATGACTGCTGCCTCACCCCAGGCCCCAAAGCAATTGGGCCAACTGATCCCCTGGGATGAAACCTTCAAAACTATGAACCATGAGCCTTTTTCTCTTTATAAGTTGGTAACCCCAGGTGTTTGTTACAGCAACAGAAAGCTGACTAACACACCAGTGTTTCCCCTCAAGTGAATAAATGTGAAATTGTGAACACAATCCTAAAAGTGAAAGCCCACAGCCAACAGCAGTATTGTATGGAGTTTAAGAATTCGGGCTTCAGATTAAACAAACCCGTGTTAAAATCCTGACTGCATTACTCCTAGTCTTGAATTTGGTTCCAAGTTCCTAACCACTGAAACTTGACGTCCTCTTCTGCAATATGGAGCCATTAGTGCCTTCTCATTGGATTGTTTTGAAGATAAGATGAAATACTGTCTGTCTAAGAGATGGCATGGCCTGTAATACAGAATGGAACTCACTAGTTATCATTATTTTATTATTACTAGTAGCAATAAAAATGAGTCTAATGTGATATAAATGATAAATTTGGTGGCTCATAATGTCAAAGACTTGGACATTTTCAGAGTTCAATTTGCCCTTTGTTATACCAATACTCTGTCAAAAAAATAAAACCCTCTTTCTTATTTTTCTTTCATCCACACAGAGATGGATTTTTCATTCTGCTCATATTCTTTTGGGAAAAGGCTTAATAGCTTATATCTCTATCTGTAACTATTTCTGAAATGCAGCTTCAAGGTTTGAAAGCCTTCTCTTATCTGCTTCTCATTGTTAACATCATACTTATGGTATTTGGAAGAGATTCAAGTTTATAGTCCATAAATATGATTTGTCTGTATCAGGCTTATATATTAAGAGAGGGCAGAGCAGAATGAGGCTTAGAAGAGGATTCTATACATTAATAGCAATTCACGCTTTTGGACTTTATCCTTGACTATACTGTAACACTGAAAATGTCTCAAGTAAAATATTTGGTTAAAGCCATGTAGATAATTCAGATACAAATGTCTGTTGTCAAGAGACAACCATTTGGTATTGCTATCTTAGTCCATTTTGTATTTCTATAACAAAATATTTAAGACTAGAAAATATATAAAGGAAGAGGTTCATTTAGTTAACAGTTTTGGAGATCTAAGAGCATGACATCACATCTTCTTGACTTCTGGTGAGGACTTCATGGCAGATGGCATCATTTGGTAGAAATGCACATGAGAGGGACCAGAAGATACATGTACAAGAGCAAAATGTCTGCGGTAATTTTGCTTCAAAAAACCCCACTCCAGTAATAACTAATCCAGTTCCCCTTCTCTTGAGAGAGACATTAATCTTTCATGAGGGTACAGCCCCCATGACCTACTTATCTCTTAAAGATCCTTCTACTTCCCGTTACATTGGGAATCACATTTCAACATGAGTGTTTTTTGAGGGACAAAGCATAACAAGTAGCAAAAACAGCCCAAGTAAGAGTGAGCACATTGGAGCTTTCTGTTGGCTTGGTGTCTGATACCATCATCAGCAAAGGAGTTGGTTTTGATCAGACTAGAGATGTATCCTAAAATGGTTATGGCAGGGCATAGCTGCTGTTCTCAGATGTTGGGAGTCTATTAGACCAGAGAGGTTGTAAATAGTGGTAGACGAAAGGAGCAGGATCCCTGTTCTTTTCACTGATTTCCTCACTTCACATAGGGTGGCAGGGGTGCTGCTTCTTGGCTTCCATCCATGGGCTTGGTCACTTAAATTTGTCATCTGGACCTCTCATTCCCCTCTCAGAAAACAAGGCCTCACTCCCAGTCTTACCTGGTATTCTTAAAGGACACAGGCACATTGTATAAACTGCTAAAAGGGACACACACACAGCCCTTCTAATCTCTAGTGAGCACTGTACAATGTATGCAGAATTTTCATAGCAGCTTTGTCATTTGCTATGCATAAAACCCTATATTTTACCATTTTCTTTCTTAGAGATGAAGATACCAACAGGGTAAAACAGCTGGCCAAGTTTGCATACTTAGCAAGTTGAGGCAGCACTCAAAATCATATTTCTTGATTATAAATGACGTAACTTTTCTATAATGCTTCTTCTAAACTAATAACGATAATTGCAGATATTCATTAAGCACTTACTATGTGCCAAGTATGATTATTTACATACATACAGGAAGGTATTTAATCCTTATAAGAATTCAGTTTTTCAGAGAAAGAAACTGGGGCACTTTTTATTTCTTGAAATAATAGATAGTTGTTGGAAGGGAGATTATGTTACATTCAGAGGGGGTTTGATGTCCTCCAAGAATCCACTAAGTTTTTGTCTTTTTCTACTATACCCCAGGGTGTTTTGTCAAATTATTTCCTTTCAGTGTCTGAAGGACCTTTTCAACACACACACTGGGTACATGTCCACTGTGGTTGCTCTCTGTCTAGTGGCCCCTGCCCTTTGCTGGAGAGGCAAGGTGGTGATAGGACTATTTGTGCCTTCTCCAAGTAATGGAGACTGTGCCTCCATTTCTCCTGCTGTATCAAGAACTCCTACTGCTTGTACCATCCAGGTGTTAGGTACACCTCCAGTCCCAGCTTATTCAGGCCTCACACTTGAGTCTCTGCTCATACCCTGTATCATTTTGCAGGCTTCCACCCTATGTTCTTTGTCCCAGACTTTCAAAGCTGGGGTCATAAATTGCTCAGTCTCTCCTGCAGAAATCATAACTCCTTTATTTCATGGATCTTTTTTAGATTCCTCCAGTTCCGTGTGCCCCCAGTTCCAGCATCCAGAACTTCACTGAGTGCTCCTCTAAAGGTCAGTGTTGAATTCCATCTTGTGCTTGATAATATAACCATCTTTCTTCTCAGAGAGAATCTCCACTGAACACCAGTAATTTCGGGCTCTCTCTGTGCCTGTTTGGGCAAAGCATAATTACCTTTAGTGACTAGGGATACCTTTAGTGATTTAGCCTTTTCTTTCTGTTAACTGCTCTGCTGCCTGTTGTATTCATTTGCTCCTCAGTTTAGGAGGCTTGGAGTCAGAAACAGAAAGACAACCAGGCAATTGTCCCCCCAACACTTGGAGTCTTGCCAGCGAGGCTAAAACAGAATTTAAACACAGGATAATAAGTCTGGTTGTAGGAGAAATGAAGGAAGTATAAGATACACAAAGGTGCTCCAGGGAGACTTATGGGCAACAGAGAGGTGAAAGCAGAGTGTTACACACACACACACACACACACACACCCTACCTGGTACAACCATGAATATTCTGTTTTATGAAGCAAAACATTCAAGGGAAATCTCAAAAACTGAGGCTGCAAAGATTAGCCAAGGTCCATCATGCAAAGCCTTATGAGTCATGTGAAGGCACCTGGGCTTGATTCTGAGGGTTCTGGAAAGCCATGAAAGAATTTCAAGCAAGCAGTGCTCATGTGATCAGATTTGCATTTTGGAAAGGTCACTGCTGTGTTGTGGAGGACCCAGGGTGGCGGGAAGGAACACAATGTCTGCTGTTCAAGGAGGTGGCTGTGCTTTCTTTCTGGCTACTGTCCTCACTCCAAGTCTCTCTGCCTTGCCGGGGCAGCCACATCCAATGACTGGCCCATGGGGCAGAAGCAAGGCCGAGGCTCCATCATCTAAGAGCAGGACAGTTCAGGGCCACCAAGCTCCGAGCTCCTGTAGAGCCTGCTGCAGCTGGGGCTGTGACTGCCTTACAGTTTAGCTGCTTCCTTTGCTCCCACACTGGTGTGGGACTCTAGGGATGCTCAGTAAACTTCCTGCCTGCTACTCAAAACTCAGAGCCTGTCTTGGGGGAAATGGAGCAAAGAAATTGGGATCAGGAATAGTGTGATGAAACTGGCTCAAAAGTGGGATCTAAGCCAGGTGCCGTGGTGCATGGCAGTAATTCTAGCCCTCAGGAAGCTGAGGCAGGAGGATCATGAGTTTGAGGCCTGCCTTGGCTACATAATAAGTTTGAAGTCAGTCTGAGCTATATAGTGAGGACCTGTCTCATAATAATAACAAAAGGGTGGAATCTTGTCTCCTGATCAGCCCCTAGGGGAGTCTGTACGGTGCAGATGGAGCCATGGTACTACCTGGTATGATGGTACGATGCAAGGGTGAATCCTGCACAGGTGGTAGGGGAAAGGATGGACAAGGGGCTGTTCTAGTCAGCATTCTGGCATTTTTTCCCAATCAGAATAACCTATGCAAGTTTTTGTTGAATGTTACACATAATTGTAAGTATTTATAGAGTACAGTGTGATAATTTAAATACATGCATATGCAGTGTATAATGATCAAACTGGGGTAATTAGCATTTCTTTGTATTGGAAGCCTTCAAATTTTTCTCTTCTGATTATTTTGAGGTATATAATAAACTGTTGTAATGATGGCTGCCCTGAAGAATACTAGAATTTATTCTTCTTCCCCAACTATATTTTGGTACCTATATCCAACCTCTGTCTATTTTGTCCAGCAAACTTCTCCATTCTCTCTGGCATTTGGGAGGTTAAGGGCCCAAAGTGATACGATAATGAAATGAGTGATCCCAATGAAATAGGCTGCTTTTTAATGAGCAGACCATTGATAGCTTGAGGGAAGAACATAAAAGCCAACATGTGAAATTCAGAGTCTCATCTACAGCAAATAAAGAGACTCTTTATTTCCTGCGGGCAGAAGACAGAAAAAGTCAGGCCCAGGCCTTCATTGTTAGAGGAGCCCCAATGCTGGGCATGGGATGCAGAGCAGACTGTCAGTTCAGAGCCTGAGTGGGATCCTGAAGATTAGCATGGGTCACCTAGATGAGTCCTTCTGGCTCCCCTGGCCCTGCAGCAGTGATCTGCTGCTCCCTCTGGGATTGATTGAGGACCATGCAAAAGCATGAGCTCTTCCAGGCAATGTGTGCTCCCATTAGTATTTGCCTCCACCTGCTCCCTGTCATCAGTCTACTGTTAAGGGTGAAATCATAGCATGCCCAGCTGGAGAGTGCCACATCGGCTAAGGAATGAGAGACCCTGCCACCGGAAGCTATGTTCTGGAGTGTTGGACCAAGACAAGAGGCAGGAAATTGGATCTGAGAAAGGTTGCTGATGTGGAGACACTCTCTTGTGTATGTATTCTGCTTTGGACACTCTAGCAAGGACCCTTGGAGGATGTAGGAACATGGCACGGGGATCGATCTAGGATACTTGTAGAAAGAAGAAACCCACATAAAATAAAGTAGAAATGCCAGAAACACTGAGGCAGATGTGAAGGAAAGGATCAAAGGCTCCAAAGTGAATGCTCACAACAGACTTCCTGCATGCAGAAACCCAGAAAGGGCAGAAATGTTTAAGTATCTGTGAGGTGTGATAAAAAATAAAGTGAATGTTTACATTTTCACATTTTCTTTATAGTAATAGACACATCACCATTAATACCCCTCAAAATAAAATTTTAAAATCCTCCTTGCTTTGAGCACATTTATCCCATCCTTCTGGCCACTTTATGTTCTGGAAGACCTCTTTCCTGAGTGTCTTCACAAGTTGTAATAAAAAAAGAATTAGTGAATCTACCGCTGAGTGCCATCTAAAGATATAGTGTGCCTTTTTCACTGGGACTGGCATGTGACTTTTGATTCTTCCCCAAAGTCAAAATGACCATTAAAGGTAAGCATTGTGAATTAATTCAGGACACTGAGGCAGCCATGACAGCACAACTAAAGACATTCATGAAAGAGAATGTCCAGAACCGCTTCAGAAAATGGCAAGAATGATGAAATAAGTGTGCTCAAAGAGTACCTTGATGGGGATTAGTGGCAATGAATCTTTTACTGTAATACATTGTTTTAAAATTTAAATATTCACTGTAGTTTTTTAATCACACCCCATATGAGATTTTTAATAGCTTGGAATTATGAAATTATCTCTTTATTTTTTGGGAAAGTTTTAAATTTACAAATACTTTTATCTCAGTTCACCTGAGGAAAAATACCTCCACCTATTTTTCTAGCTCACAATGATTTTGAATATGAAGTATTTCTGAAGGGAAATTTTCTTTCATAAGTGTTTTTAGTAAGCAGATTGTTCAATTTTTCTTTTTCAGAGAAAGCTGTCTGCCATATCTTTCTTGAGAACAAATTTGCTTAATTCTTATCATCCTAGCTGTTGAAAAGATTTACCTTGGATAGCATTACTGCTTGGTTTTCATGATTCAATTTTTCTGGCTGGGCCATATAATTTCTCTTTTTGTTATTTCACTTCGTATATAGTGTGAATCACGCACACAAATGGTCTTTAGTCATTTCCTATTAGGCTTCCAAGTAATGTTTTTACTTTAAAAACCATTTTCCAGTGATGTTTCAAGCCATGTCAAAAAATAATGCCAATACAACAACACAATGATAACCCTTCACAAAAGCTCAATTTGCATCAGGCACTGTGCTAAGGGCTTCCTATCATAAATGCATTCCATTTTCACAACAGTCTCATCTGTAGAGTCCTGTATTAGCTCTCCAGTGTAGTGATAACATGCCTGAGAAATTCAGCTAAAGGAGAAAAGATTTGTTTTAGATCATGGTTTTTGAGGTTCAGTCCATGGTTACTTGACTCCATTGTTTTTGGCTTTGTAGTAAGGCAGAATCATCATGATGATGGGGCTTGGTGGAGCAAAGCTGCTCACTCATGGTGGCTAGGAAGCAAGGAGAGAAAAAGTATTCAGAAACAAAGTGTACCCTTCAAAGGTACACCCCCAGTTATCCACTCTTTCCAACTAGGCCCCACTTTCTAATGTTTTCACTGCTTCCCAATAATGTCATCAAATCATGAATATATTAATGGAATAATCCATTGAAAAGGAGGGGGCCTTTGTGATCCAGTTACTTCCAAAAATTCCTGCTTTGAACAAATCTTCAACACATGAGCCTTTGGGGGACATTCCAGATCTGGACTTTAACAAGTCCCCATCCTACAGGTAAGGAAGCCACAAGTAACTTGTCATGGATATAAGGTAAACAACAAGAGGGGCTTAATTTCCAGATTGTAGATCTAGAAATTGAGCCACAGATGGCATCCACCTGTATTTGAGAACATCTAATGTTGGGCAGCTCAACCTTTTCTAGGTAGCTCTGGTGAGGTTAGGTAGCATCAACAGGTCAGAAGGTTTGAGACTTATAGGTCTAGAAATTCCATTTCCTGTTCCCAACAAATAATCAAGTAAGCTTTGTGGAGTTACCAAATTTAGGTAACCTGGTTTCTAGTCCTGCCCCAGAAACAAGTCACTTTTCATCCAGGGACTTGGGTTTCTTAGCTATAAAATGAGGGCACAAACCAGATTGGGAATTATATGTTGGTGGTATGAGGGCCAGTTGATGCCTACAAATGTGCTTTGTCTAGTCAGCTGCATTGGGGTAGAGTTGGCGGTGGGGGGGTGAAGTGTTTTAAAATTGAATTCCTTTAGTTTAGACTCACTATTGTGTTGTCTAATCCATGGATTTATAAATTCATTTGGCCCTTATAAGCTTCTGGGTTTGCAAATTTGGTGTGCAATTATCTCAGAGATCAATGTCAATTGTGTTTATTTTCCCCTGGAATCCTGGAAACAGGATGTGGGAACTTACCAGAGCAGAGTAGATGAGGGAAAAGGAATGGCTCTGGTGCTGCTGCAAATTCTTGGTGTCTAGAAGGTAGATACTTAGCTAGCCTTACCCTGAATTGTCTACTCCACAGTGCAAGGAAGACTTGCTTCCCTACATTTCCTTTATATTGACTTGCTCCAAGCCCAGCTCTTTGACAGACATAATCAGGGCTGGTATTATCTCTCAAGCAATATGAC